TTTCATGGGCAGCCCGGTATTCGCATCCTGCCCTGGCCCCTTCTACCTGATAACTGCCAGGTGGAGGTCCCCACCCCTTCTGCCTGACAAATCTTCCACAATCTCCCAGGTGCAGCCCAGTATCTGCATTTCAAACACCCTGCTAGGGATCCCAATTCTCTAGGGGGTCCTGCCCACCCTTCTTCCTGTCTGATAACATTTGCATCCATAAAGTCCTTTGTTTCAGACATTCAAGAGAAAACTCAGAAGTTTTTCTGTTTACATCCAAAAAGCCCTTTGTTCCAAGAGGAGCAGAGGTGGGGAAGCAAGATCCATCTCCTTAAACACACACACACACACACACACACACACACACACCCCGCCTCAACCAGACTGTGTGCTCAGCCCTCTGCCTCTCTGCTGAGTCGCCCGCCTGGGCTGGCCAGGTGTAATCTCTCTACTCAACCTTGTCAACCGTGTAACCTTGCCCTCCCCCCGCCCAGTCCAAGCGACTGGGCACTTTCTCGGGTCCTGTCCGGAGAGGGTGCCCATCCATCCTTACAGATGTCCCTTTCCTAATAAACCTTGCTATTTTACCTCCCACTGCTCTCTGTCTCACTCCTGAATTCTTTCTTGCATGAAGACAAGAACCCTGCAATTTCTTCGGTAACAATGTTAGGTAGGAAGTCAGTCATGAGCTTATGTGTGTGCGACATAAAGGCCTAAAGAGGAGATGTCTATGTCCAGCATATGCTGCATCTCAAGGTCATCCCAATGGTGTTTCAGGGGCAGCCCGGTATTCACATCCTGCCCTGCCCTGCCCTGCCCTGCCCCCTTCTACCTGATAACCTGCCAGGTGGAGGTCCCCACCCCTTCTGCCTGACAAATCTTCCACAATCTCCCAGGTGCAGCCCAGTATCTGCATCTCAAACACTCTGCTCCCTTCCTCCTGTCTGATAACATTTGCCAGACCTTCACTCACTCAGGGAGAAGCTTCTTAATATTTGCATCCATAAAGTCCTTTGTTTCAGGAGGAAGTGTGTGAAGCAAGACCCATCTCCTTAACCCCCCCCCCAACCTCACTCCTTCCCCCCCACCCAGTCTCTCAGGCTCTTTCTGGAGAGGTGCCCATCCATCCTTACAGATGTCGCTTCCCTAGTAAACCTTGCTATTTTACCTCCCACTGCTCTCTGTCCCACGCCTGAATTCTTTCTTGCTCGAAGACAAGAACCCTGCAATTTCTTCGGTAACAACAAGATGAATCACATTATACTCGTTTTTATAAATTGAGGAAAGTGAACTTAGAAAATGGCAAAATACCGGTAAAGCAGCCGAGTATGGCCCAAGTACATGGGCCCCTGCCACCCACGTGGAAGACCTGGCCCAGCCCCAACTGCATGGAAGTTCTCTCTCTAACTCTGCCTTTCAAATAAATAAACCCTTTTTTAAAATGGCAAAATAACAGAACTCTTTAGTCACTCCAGTATTAAGTTACTTAGAAATGATGACTTACAAGTGAAGGGTTAAAAAGTTAAAAGCCGGTCCCCCCCCCCCACCTCCTCTGGTGAACTTTCCTGACCTCGTTAGATTTGCTCTGCATAGCCATTCTCTATAAAGTTAATTAGTCAGTAAATTACCCCAATGTGAGCGTAACCTTAGTTTCACCTAAGTAAGATAGAAGAAGTCACCATATATCTCTTTGCCTCCTGGAACCCTGACCCCACCATGTGTCCCTTATCGCCATTCGGCTGCATTCCTAGGTATCATCAAGGCAGTTCCTGCAACCTTGTTGTGTTTGTTGTGTGGCCCTCCCTTTTGGCAATAGGAGGCTTTTTTGATACTCCCTGTATAGGCCATATGGTTCTCTGAGGTCTAATCAGGCCCTTACTCGATATCCTGTACTCCCTGTATTCATAAATCAACTGGTTGTAAAATCACTTAACTTGTATCAATTGTTTACCCTATACCTCTGTCTGATCTATGCAATGATTGATTTTCTTTGTTTAAATGTGTATAAAAACCCCAGCCCAAGACTATTTGGGGCCGCTCGCCTGTACTGGGACGGGGGCCCCGACATGTCGGATCATCAATAAACCTTACCCTTTGTTAATTGCATGAGAGAAGGTCTCTTGGAGCGTTTTTGGGGTGGCAAGAGCAATCCAACTCTAACACAAGTTGCCTAAATTTTTTTTTTGACAGGCAGAGTTAGAGAGAGACAGAGAGAAAGGTCTTCCAAATGGCTGCTATGGCCGGCGCACTGTGCCGATCTGAAACCAGGAGCCAGATGCTTCCTCCTGATCTCCCATACGGGTTGCAGGGGCCCAAGCACTTGGGCCATCCTCCACTGCCTTCCCAGGCCACAGTACAGAGCTGGACTGGAAGAGGAGCAACCAGGACAGAACCTGGCGCCCCAACCAGGACTAGAACCTGGAGTGCCAGCGCTGCAGGTGGAGGATTAGCCTAGTGAGCCGCGGGCGCTGGCCAGTTTGCCTAATTTTTGTTTGGAAAGTTTGTGCCACTGGGTTTCTCACTTCTTTAATTGAGGGAGACCTCTGTGAACTAAAGCAGGATCTGACACATTTCTGTGTCACTTGCTTGTTTGAGTTAGATTTGTTTGGGAAAAAATGCATAGCAGTTTGAACTGGACACATTCCTTAATATCATTTATTTGTTTCTTGGTTCCCTCTGTAGCTTCTCTTCCTGTGCCTGCCTCTTCCTCTGGCCTTTCCCAGGAAGAGTAGAGACTCAGAGTTTCACCACCCCTCCCTGGTAGCTTTGGGATCCGCCAGGAGGGAAGGCCTATACTTCCGGGAATGGCGGGAAGAAAAGTCCTTGTCAAGGTCTCTGCGGGTGCCTAAAGGTCAACCAATGAGGATCAGACCCTCCTCAACCTTTAACCCCCATGCCCTGAATCTATAAAAGGAGCTCTCCCAATCTCTGACACGCGACTTCCCCGGCCCCTGCTCTGTTGGGACCGGGGAACCTCGCCCGGGAGCGGAACCCCAATAAAAGCCTGTGAATTGATTGATTCGTCTGCCTGGGAAGATTTGTTATGCGCCGGACACCTTGCACTCCCCTTCCCCACCTTTGGCAAGACACGTCTTCCCTTTTTCCTCACCCTCACCCCCAAGGAAAATACATTTGTTTTAGAACCCCAAAACCTGGACCAACTCACTGACATTGGGGTGGTAGAACAAAGTATTTATTATCAAAGCACTGAGCAGGGACCAGGCAGCTATTACTTAATTACCCTGAGGAGTTAGAGCCAGGGGTCTTGGGGCTGGCGCTGTGGTATAGCAGGTAAAGCTGCCACCTGCGGCACCGGCATCCTATATGGACGCCAGTTGGAGCCCTGGCTGCTCCACTTCCGGTCCTTCTCCCTGCTAGTGCTTCTGGGAAAGCAACAGAAGATGGCCCAAGTGCTTGAGCCGCTGCACCCATCTGGGAGACCTGGAGGAAGCTCCTAGCTCCTGACTGGTAGCTTTGGGATCTGCAGGGGAGAAGGCCCACACTTCCGGGAATGGAGAGTCCGTACCCCCACTTCCAGGAATGAAAAGTCCTTGCCAAGGTCCCTGCAGGCACCTAAAGGTCAACCAATGAGGATCAGGCCCGCCTCAACCTTTAACCCCCACACCCTGTACCTGTGTAAGGAGCCCTCCCAACCTCTGACACCTGACTTCCCCGGCCCCGCCCTGTTGGGCTGGGAACCTCGCCCAGGAGTGGAATCCCAATGAAAGCCTGTAAACTGATTGATCTGGCTGGGAAGATTTGTTTCGCGCTGGACACCTTGCACTGGCTTTAGGTTAGCCCAGCCCTGGCCATTGTGGATGGAACCAGCAGATGGAAGATATCTTTCTCTTCCTCTCTGCTTGTTTCTCCTTCTCTGTTAACTCTTTCAAATAAATAAAGCTTATTTTAAAAAAATATGGTCAGAGATCTTATAGATGGTTTTGGGATTGAGAAGTGTTTTTCATTCTTGTGCTGATCTTTGCCCTTCTTTGATTGACCAGCAATATCAGGTTCTTTCGGGAATTTTGATGATGGCAAAATACGCTCCAGTTAGGGGGGCTTGTAGCAGACGGGCCGGTATTTTTTACTCAGGGCTTGGGACTCCCAAAAAAACCCTTGAAGACCAAGATCTTGGTCTTGAAGACCAAGATCCAGCAAGATGTCAGCTGGAAAAGAGGTCAATGAACTCACAAATCTTGTGATGTGGGACCCTGTGGGGCAGCAAGACTCAATGTCCCATTCCCTCAATTAAGTGAATTTAAGAAGCAGTTGATTTGCAATCACATTGAGGCCGGGGAAGTGAGTTCTAATTTTTATTCCAGGCCCTGGAGAAGCAGTCTAACTACAGGCACATATGCAGCGCACAAAGTGGCAAACAAAGCTTTAAAAGGGAGAATGCAAACACGCACGCGGGTGGGCAGGGTGAGCAGAAGGGTCCTCGAGGAGAAAAGGGTGGGAGAGGGGAAGTAGAGAGGGTTGGCTTCAGACCCTGCTCCCGGCCCGCTCTGCACGGAGAGACGGCTCGGTTCTGGGGTCCTGGGCTGACTGTCCTGGGTCAGCAGAACAAGTAACCCTTAGGGCTACGGGAGAAGTCGGAGTGTGGGAGACTAAAGCGTGGTAGCAGGCAGCATCGACAGCCAGGCACGGCAGAGGGGCTCAGCGTCACATCCCCGTGAGCTACAAAGGAAGACAAAAGGGTCCCGGCGATTCCACCCTCCACTTAAAAGCAAGAAGCATGCCCCATGCTGTGAGCTCCCTGCAGAGGTAACCAACACCGTGCATTGCTTTGCATTGCCTCATTGACGGGGGCAAATGGGAGCACTTAGATTCCCGTTCGCCTGGGAAGCATAGTCCTAGGGCCTGCACTTTTGCAAACGACCGGCAGCCACCGTAAGCCTGAGCCTGAACCCAACAAAACTGCACGGACCCCGCCTAGCCACCCTCGCTCTCCAGGGGCGGCTGGCGGCGCAAGCGCAGTGGGTGCGGCGGCGCCGGCCAATGGCGTCATCAGGAGGCGCGGCCCGGGTGCCCTTGGCTGAGGCGCGGCGCTCGAGCCTGCACTTTCAGCGCCCGGAGCGGACGCCGGCAGCATGAGCGGCTGCGGGCTAATCCTGCGCACGGCGGCGGCCGCGCGAGTCTGTCGGGCTCTGGTGGCCTTCACGGAGAGCCGGCGCCCGCTGCGCACCAGCCCGCGGAGCGCGACTTTCGCCAAGGAGCTCTTCCTGGGCAAGATCGAGAAGGTAAGGCGAGCCCCGGGCCGACCGCTGCTCGCCGGTCACGGCAGGGCCGGAGCCCGCAAACGTGCCCGGCCAGATGTTCCCGAGGGGCGGTCCGTGCCGCAACCCCGGGATCCGAACCCGCCGGAGCCTTCCCAGGGGCCGGGGCCGGGTCCCCGGGCGGAGTGGCTTTGACAAGTCCCCGCGAGTTCTTCCAGGGAGTCTTGGGAGAGCCCTGGGGAGAGGTCGCCGAGCCACGCTCACCCGGGCTTTGCCGGCCCCCAAATGTGCGGGTTTTGCTTGTGGTACCTGAATCCCGCTCTGCCCAGGGCGCTCCTGGCACCTGTGGGGCCCCCCGGGGTTTCCCTCTGCGGCTGAGCCCTAGCCCCTCGCCCTGCCATTCAAGTTCTTCCTGAATCTGGCTCCGAGGTGCCCTCCGCCCCCTCCCTTCCGAGGATTGCACCACGCCCACAGCAACAATGTGGCTGCTGAACACCATCCTCTTTTGAAGACTGAGATTTGATCTTATCTCTGTGACTTTGAGCCTTGTCTCATTCGGCCTTAAAATGGAGCTGGTGGGTGTGTGTACCTCACAGATGTGTTGTAGAGCCCCTGTAGGGTTGATAGTGCATGGAAATTCTTCAGCTACAAGGGGCTCATTCATTCATTCATTCATTGATGCGTCTGCTGGTTCACTCCCCAAAATGCCTGTAATGGCCAAAGCTCATTCTCGGTCTCCCACATGGGTGACAGGAACCCAGTTGTTGGAGTTGTCACTGCTGCCTCCCAGATCTGTATCTGACCACCTTTAGGCTCAAGCACAGCTCCTCCTCTGGGTCAGGCCTCCCTCAGCATTTCTGGGTCTTTAGTAGGAACAGGGCAGCGACTATTAGCCTTTTAGAATAGAAAGAGAACCCCAGGTTATTGAGGCTGGTGAGCATCATTCTGCCCTTAGTTGGGGCAAAATTATAGGAAGGAGTGCCCCAGGGGCTCCTGCAGGGTTGAACGGGAGGCTGAGTCAGTGAGATTTGGGCCTCTCTTCTTATGAGCAGCCTCAATCAAGTTGCCTGGCTTTGATCTGTCTTACGTGACTTCTGCCCTAGATTTATGGGAATAACAGGTCTCCCTGCTTTACAAGTTTGAAAACTGTCCATTGCAACTGAGTTCCCCTCCCGTGAGGCACACCTGTCAGTTTTTGACCATTGTTGTCCAAGAACTCTTTCTCCCTGGCACCCGGGGCATCTCCCTGTAGCAGTTACCCTTTGGTTGTGGTCCAAGGCCACCAAGTTACCAGGCTGTCTCTATTCTGTCACGTGGCCTGCCCACCGATGTCAGTGATCATCCCCCTATCTCCTCCCATAGCCATTGCCCAGCTGACCAACAAGGCTAGGGAAGGGAGTGTGAGGGGGCAGTCGCCTCTGTTGGGCAGAGACAGCTTTGTCTCCAGAGGCTTGAGAGTGGTGACAGGTGTACCTGCCTTTCCTTCCAGACCCCCTTAGTAGAGGGTTGTGACAGAGAGGCAGGACACCGCTAAGTCTGCTGTCGCTTTTGGATAGGGTAGCCCCAATAAGCCTGCAGTCCTGGGGCCAGAGAGCTGAGGACAGATTGGGGAGCACGGTGCTGGAGTAGACAAGTCAGGTGGTCAATGAGATGTGCAGAGGCTGGGAACAAGGATGAGGACTTCTGTGACAACCTTCCTGAAGCTCCAGTGCCATGAGGACAGGCAGGGCTCCTGGGGCCTGGCAGCTTATAATAGGCACCCCCAAGTCCACTTCCTGGTGCCATGCTGGCTGCCGAAGGGTTAGTTGGAGTCCCAAGGCCAGAGGGGCTTTTGATACTGTGGAATGCTCTCCAGGGCCAGCAGGAGGGAATCCTGGGCTAGTCAGGGATTGGAAAGAGACTGGCAGCTAAGTCACTTTCCAGGTCACCAGGTGGGACAACAGTGGAGCCAGAAGCTGAGAACACTTACTTTATGTCCTGGGGCACGTGACCACAGTCACCTTCTGAGATAAAGAGAATCATCTGTGGGAGAGAACCGGACGGAGAGGGATGATGCAAGCTGCCCAGTCACCTGCGAGGAGTGGCTGTGCCAGGGTGAAGTTCAGGGCGATGTGGATCCACAGCTGGGCTTTGCTCTCTGATCCCACAGCACAGGGAGTGGCTGCAGCGACTGAGGGCCAGAGGCTCCGTGGTCAGATCTGGCAGCCACGCCGTGCTCCTGTCAGCAGCACCATTTTTAACTCAAAGTAACTGATGTAGGATTCTCTCCATTTTAGAAAAGACCTTTCTCATTCCGCCTTCCAGGATTCTCACAAGGAACTTGAGTCAACAGGAGCTTGGTGAGGTGAAGGGAGGTGGCTGCGGCCGCAGTTGGCAAGTGGCAAATCCAGGACCAGACTCAAGTCCTGGACTTCCTGTTCTATGGGACAGTCCTCATCACTTGTTATGGATAAGGAAAGTGGTGTGTGGGGAGGAAGATGGCCCTGGGACAGCCTGCATCTTAAGCGCTTGGTGTAGTCTTTATAACTGCAGTGAGTTGTGTCCTGCTGGCCAGATGAGGAATCTAGGATGCCCTTTTCTTTCCCCTTTCACCAATATTACTGCAGTAGGGGCTGCTAGGTATTAAATTTTCAGAGACTGGTGTTGTGGCACAGTGGGTTAGGCTGCCATCTGTGATGCTGACATCCCATTTAGGCGCCAGGCTGAATGGCTGCTTCATTTCTGATCCAGCTCCCTGCTGATGTGCCTGGGAAAGCGCTGGAAGACGGTCCAAGTGCTTGGGCCCCTGCCACCCACGTAGGGGACCTGGATGGCCTGCCAGGCTCCTCCTTTCAGCCTGGCCCAGCCCCAGCTGTTGGGGCCATTTGGAAAGTGAACCAGCAGATGGAATATTTGCTTTCTCCCCCCACCCCTTAACTCTGCCTTTTAAATAAATAAACAAGTCTTTTAAAAACTAACTATTTTTGTAAATGTTTATCATTTTTAGAAAGGAGTTTTCCCGTTTCCAGAAGTTAGCCAAGATGAACTTAATGAAATCAATCAGTTGGTGGGACCCGTAGAAAAATTCTTCATGGAAGAGGGTACGTATGGTTTTCCTTCTCATTGCCGATCTCCATCAGCAGAGCCATGATGCTGGTGTTTCTTTTAGAAGCAGCACACTGTAGGGGAAGCACTTTCGAGAGTTGTGAATGAGGGAGAAGTCAGTTTTATCAGAGTATCTTACTTTGGGATCATCTCAGTTGCTGATCCATTACAAGAATTCCAGTTCACTGCTTCTAGATGTGTCCGTGATAAAGGGCCACTTGTAAACATTTCCACGTGTATTGCAGACTTACATAAATTATAATGAAAATATAAAATGTCAAAATAACTGCACAACTGGGATGAAGCCAAGGACACACAGCCCATGCCAGTGGGTCCTGTGCAGTGTGAGGTTGCTGTAGGCGCTGCTGGAGGTCGAGCCTGGGTTTCTGTGTGGCCTTGTTGGGAACCAGTCATGGTTGGAGGACCTGTGGCACCTGCAGCCCTCAGGTAAAGGAGCAGCATTCTTGACTGCAGGGCCCCTCACTTGGAGTGGTTGGGGTCCTTCCCTGAGAGTAGGAGGCCACCCTTAATGGGAGCAGCTGCCCCTCCAGGAAGGGCCATGCAGAGTTCCCTGATGGCGGAATCATAGCAGCATTTCTGCATCACTGAGGATCCCAGAGAGCTTTGGTTTATGTCCATTTTCCCCGCCAATGTTTGACCTTTTTGGAATTAAAACTGAGAGGTTTAAAAAGAATACCATATATGTCATATATGACTTCATTTAAAAAAAATGATAAACCCTTTATAGGTTGATAGAAACAATTTTTTTTAACGATTTCTTTATTTATTTGAAAGAGCGAGAGAGAAAGGGGGGTCTTCCACCCATTGGTTTGCTCCCCGGATGACCGGAGCTGGGCCAGATGGAAGCCAGGAGTCCCATCCAGGTCTCTCACGTGGGTGGCAGGGGCCCAGAAACTGGGCCATCTTTTGGTGCTTTTGCCCAGGCCCTTAGCAGGGAGCTGGATTGGAAGTGGAGCTGCCAGGACACAGATGGCGTTTCATACCTGCTATGCCACAGTGCCTACCCCATAAACTATTTTTAATAAATTCTTTGAAAGCTAGTGGAAAGAGTGACATTGTTTTTTGTTTTTGGGTTTTTTTTTTTTTTTTTTTTTGGTTTTGTTTTTTGTTTTGTTTGGTTTTGACAGGCAGAGTGGACAATGAGAGAGAGAGAGAGACAGAGAGAAAGGTCTTCCTTTGCCGTTGGTTCACCCTCCAATGGCCGGCGCACCGCGCTGATCCGATGGCAGGAGCCAGGTACTTATCATCCTGGTCTCCCATGGGGTGCAGGGCCCAAGTACTTGGGCCATCCTGCACTGCACTCCCGGGCCACAGCAGAGAGCTGGCCTGGAAGAGGGGCAAACGGGACAGAATCCGGCACCCTGACCGGGACAGGAACCCGGTGTGCCAGCGCTGCAAGGCAGAGGATTAGCCCTAGTGAGCCGCAGCGCCGGCCAAGAGTGACATTGTTTTACTAATCTTTTTAATGTTTGTCTTATGAGATCACAGTTAGATTCTCATCTGTGTGTTTTGCTTCTGTATGTCATGTAGCCTCTGGAAGAGTCTGGTATACATTTTTTGAGAGAAGTAGAATCAGAAACGCAAATAGTGTCTTGCTGTTACCATTAGGATACCTTTGACCCTGTGGAGGCCATTAAGGCCACTCAGGTGCTTACAGACACTTTGAGAACGCCTGCTGTATATGTTACTATGTTGCTAGTTTTAAAAGTTTCCTAGTTGAGTATCAATATCTTTTGTTATTTAGAAACACTTGTTTCTGGTTTTTAGTGGCTATCTTCCTTCTTCTGTGTACCTTTTTTTAAGTTCCTTAGTCTCTTTTTCTTTTATTTAAACTTCTACTGTCTGGTTTGTCAGGGGTATATTTTTTAAAAATTTATCAGATATGGGCCGGCGCCGTGGCTCACTAGGCTAATCCTCCACCTGTGGCGCTGGCACACCAGGTTCTAGTCCTGGTTGGGGCGCCGGATTCTGTCCCGGTCACTCCTCTTCCAGGCCAGCTCTCTGCTGTGGTCCGGGAGTGCAGTGCAGGATGGCCCAAGTCCTTGGGCCCTGTACCCCATGGGAGACCAGGAGAAGCACCTGGCTCCTGGCATCGGATCAGCGCGGTGCGCCGGCCGCAGCAGCCATTGAGGGGTGAAACCAACGGAAAAAGGAAGACTTTTCTGTCTCTCTCTCTCACTGTCTACTCTGCCTGTCAAAAATAAATAAATAAAAATTTATCAGATATGACTGACTTTCAGTATATTGCACAACGGTCAGAAGAACCATTGACATAACCAAGATAATGCACTTGTCTATTATCTCTAAGTAGTTTCCTCCTTTTCATTCCTTCCCTGTCCCCAGGCAACTGCTAATCTCCTTTCTGTCATTGTTCGTATTTTAGCTTTTATTTATTTATTTTTAATTTGACAGATAGAGTTAGACAGTGAGAGAGGGAGATAGAGAGAAAGGTCTTCCTTCCGTTGGTTCACCCCCAAATGGCCACTACGGCTGGAACTGCGCCAGTCAGAAGCCAGGAGCCAGGTGCTTCCTCCTGGTCTCCCGTGAGGGTGCAGGGGCCCAAGCACTTGGGCCATCCTCCACTCTTTCCCGGGCCACAGCAGAGAGCATCAGTAGTTCCTTACTTTTTAATGCTGTGAGTATTTCTTTGTAGGATTTGTTTAGTCATTCACATGTTGACAATGTGGTATTGTCAGATTGTGGCTATTCCAAAAGAAGTTGTTGTGACTGGAGCTTGCCTTTCTCTTGAATGGATACTAAGAGTGTGGTGTCTGGATCCTGTGCTAGGTGTATGTTTAAGTCTTTACAAAACTGCAAAGCTGTTTACCAAACTAGCCTCCAGTTTATGTCCCCACCACAGTGTATGCAGGTTCCAGTTGCCCCACAGCTCTACCAGTCTTTTTGGCCATTTTATTGTGTATATCAGGCATCTCATTGTGGCTCTGATTTGCATTTCACTACTGGCTAATGCTGTTGGACACCTTTTCATATGCTGATTTATTACTTGTATTTCTGTTTTGCTGAGGTATCTTTCTTTGATAGATTTTAGTTATTTGTTTGAGAGATGGAGTTACAGATAGGAAGAGACAGAAAGGTCTTCCGGCTCTGGTTCACTCCCCAGACGGCCGTTTCCCATCTATTATTAAGGGATATCTCTCCAGTTATTTAGGTCTTTTCCCTTTCAGCGGTGTCTTACATGTGTAGTTAGTTTTTCATTTTACTTGAAAGACAATGAGCCAGAGACCTCACATCTACTGGCTCACTGCCTAAATGCTTGCAACAACCAGGGCTGGGATAGGCTGAAGCCAGGAGCCCAGGACTCCATCCAGGTCCCCCATATGGGGGAAGGACTGAAGTACTTGGGCCTACATCTGTTGTCTCCCACCCAGAATGCGCATTAGCAGGAAGCTGGAGCCAAAGCAGAGCAGTCAGGACTTGAACCAAGCTTTCTCGGATATGAGATGCAGGATTCCCAAGTGGTGACTTAAGTTACTCTGCCTATTCTACCCTTTCGCATTGGTAGTGATTGTGTTAGAGTTTATAGGATGTCTTATCAAACCTGTCTTCAGCTAATATGCCATTTCACTTGGAGTGTAAGAACAATACTGTGTTTCCACTTTCCCTACCTGTGTGCTGTTCTATTTTCATTTTTCATTTATTATAAACCCTGCAATACTTTACTTTTTTAAAATCATGGTCAAACATACCATACAATTCTGCAGTGTTAAGTGCATTTACAGTGTTGTACAATCATTACCACTGCACATTTCCAGAATTTTATCATGCCATTATTTTTCTTTAAACTGGTTTATCTTCTAGAGAAACTTTCAAGGTAAGAAGCAGTCATCCGGTGGTTACCAGTCTAGTTGCGTTTCTAGAGGTCTTCATGCTGCTGGGTGGGACGGATTTTCTTTGGTAGTGTTGCTTTTCTCTGGGGAAGACGTCCTTGCACGCTCACGTCCCGCAGCGCCACAGGGAAGGAGCATTGTCGCTTTTCCATGTGTCACCGAGAGTCCCGGCATCAGAAAGCTTTCTCTGTTGAGAGTGCCTTCTGGCTCGTGCTGTTTCCGCAGAGAAGCCAGCAGCTGTTTTTATCTTCATTCCATTGTACGTGGTGTCTCTCATGTGTCTGGCTGTTTTTAAGCATTTTAGGGAACTTTTTTTTTCTTTAAGATTTATTCATTTATTTGAAAGAGCTACAAAAAGAGGGTGGGAAGGAGAGAGAGAGAGATCTTTACTCTGGTGGTTCACTCTCCAAATGGCCACAGTGGCCGGGGACGGGCCAGGCCAAAGCCAGGAGCCTGAAACTTTATCCAGGTTTCCATCGTGGGTGCAAGAGCCCAAAGACTTGAGCCATCTTCCTCTACTTTCCCAGGTGACTTAGCAGAGATCTAGATCAGAAATGGAGCAACCTGGGGCTGCCGCTGAAAGAAGCTCCTGGATCGTGGCTTCGGATTGGCACAGCTCTGGCCGTGGTGTAGTAAGCTAAGCCTCCACCTGTGGTGCCAGCATCCCAAATGGGCGCCTGTTTGAGTCCCGGCTGCTCCACTTTCGATTCAGCTCCCTGCTAATGGCCTGGAAAAACTGCAGAGGATGGTCCAAGTGCTTGGGCTCCTGCACCCAGACCTGGAAGAAGCTCCTAGCTGTGGCCATTGTGGCCATTTGGGGAGTGAACCAGCAGATGGAAGACCTCTCTCTGCCTCTCAAATAAGTAAATAAATAAATATTTTTTAAACATTTTAAAACTTTTGACTCTGGGATTGTATAATATGCAGAAATGGTTGTTTACTTTTATTTGTATTATCCTAGCTTATATTTTGTTTAATTGCTTCTTATTTCTTCTTCTTATCAGTGGACTCTCGAAGAATTGACCAGGAGGGAAAAATCCCAGATGAAACTTTAGAGAATCTGAAGAAACTGGGGCTTTTTGGGATACAGGTGCCAGAAGAGTATGGTAAGTCAGGGAAACAACCGCTCCGCTGCTCGGCGCTTGGGCACACTCTGACGTCTGTCCACAGGGTTCTGTTCAGAAGGGGGCTATGAGATGCAGCATCTCCACGGTCCAGTGGTATAATTGCGGGTGTGAATCAGTGTCCATCTTTACAGGGGGCTCAGTACAGGGTGCTGGCTGGTGGGTGTGTGCCGACCAGGGACCCATAGGGGTGAAGAGCTGTTGAGTCTTGGCGCTTTGTTTGTCTGAAGTGAATAAGGATCCTGATGTGATGTTTGTGGTCCATGCATTCTTAGGCCACGTGGGGATGTGGTGACCTCAGAGTTGCACTGACTGATTTCAGAAGTGGAGCTGCTAGAACTTGAACCGGTGCTCATATGGGATGCTGGCACCACAAGTGGAGGCTTAACCTTCTATGCCACCACACTGGCCCCTGTTACACTGTTTTAAGCTGTTAAATGAAAAATCATCTTTGTTATCTTGTGAAATACCTCCCACTACACTTCAAGCATATGCAAAAGGATGTCTCTACACCAGACCTGGTGTAGTGATGCTGCTGCCACTAGTGGTGGGAGTGCAGCACAGACCTGTGCAGGGCAGGTGCAGGTTGTTTGCGGTTTCTGTACACAAACAGCTGCCTCCAGGCTGGTGGGAGTGGAGGGAGAGAGCTGAGGCTTGTATAGTTGTGACTCAGCGGTATCAGAGGTATCATTTGTCATCATGTGTAGTCATCTGAATATTAGAAAAGAAAGGAAGTGTAGGGTAGAGCTGGGAATTAGTGGTTGGTTAGTTTGTCATCTGCTTAAAAAGCAAGTGCTAGCGACCAGCGTTGTGGCATAGCAGGTTAAGATTCCCTGTGGGTGCCAGTTCGAGTTCCAGCTGCTCCACTTCTGATCCAGCTCTCTGCTAATGGACCTGGGAAAGCAGTAGGTGATGGACCAAGTGCTTGGGCCCCTATACCTACATTTGGAGACCTGGATGAAGCTCCAGGCTCCTGACTTGAGCTCTGGCTGTTGTGGCCATTTGGGAAGTGAACCAGTGAATGGAAGATCTCTCTCTGTCTCTCCCTCTCTCTCTGTAACTCTGTCTTTCAAATAAATCTTTAGAAAAAAAAAAAGAGCTAGTATTTAACCTAGTAGTTGAGACACCTGTGTCCCACATCAGAGTTCTTCGGTTTGATTTCCAGCTCTGACACTAACTTTCAGTTTCCTGCTAATGTAGACTCTGGGAGGCAGCAGTGATGGCTTGAGCGGTTGGGTTCTGGTCTCCCATGTGGGAGAGTTGGGTTGACTTCCTAGCTCCTGGCCATTGCCGGCATTTAGAAAGCATCTGGGGAGTGAACCAGCTGATGAGAGCTAGCTCTTGTTCACTTGCCCTCTCTCCCTCCCTCCATCCCTCCTTTTCTCTTTCTCTCTCTGACTCTATCAAATAAAATTTTTAAAAAGAACTTGGTGAAATTAGAAATGACAGTATAGCATTACATATCCAGTTAGTATTTAATATATACTATCCAGTTAGTAATACTATGTATTACATCTTCAAGGCCAGTGCTGTGGAATGGTAGGCTAAGCCTCCACCTGTGGTGCTGGCATCCCATATGGGCGCCAGTTCCCCATATGGGCTCCAGTTCAAGTCCTGACTGCTCCTCTTCCAATCTAGCTCTCTGCTATGGCCTGGGAAAGCAATAAAGATGACCCAAATCCTTGGGCCCCCGCACCCATGTGCAAGACCCAGAGTAAGCTCCAGGCTCCTGGCTTCAGCCAGTCCAGCAGCCATTTAGGGAGTGAACCAGCAGATTGAAGACCTTTCTCTGTGTCTCTCTCACTCTGTAACTCTACCTCTCAAGTAAATAAATAAAATCTTTTTTGAAAAAAAAAGAGGGACCCACAACATAGACCTTATTGCTGCAGGATGTTGACCAGCATCCTGGCCGGGAGTCCAGCAGACACTGGTAGAAGTCATTCACAGCATGCTACATGGTCTTATATATTTGTTTGAAACGCAGAATTACAGAGAGACGGAGACAGAGATCATCCATCCCCTGGTTTGCTCCCGAAATGGCTGCAACAAGTGGACTGGGCCAGGCTGAAGCCAGGAGGCAGAAACTCCATCCTGGCCTCCCACATAGGTGGCAGGGGCCCTAGTACTTGGGCTGTCTTCCACTGCTCTCCTAAATGCATTAGCAGGAAGGTGGATTGGAAATGGAGCGGCCGAGGCTTGAACTGACACTTGTGGGATGCTGGTGTCGTAGGCGGTGGCTGCCACAATGCCAGCTCCAGCATGATAGGTGGTTTCATTGTGTTTAGGAGTCTTTATATTCAGATATGTATCTACATGTGCCTCTGTGCCTAGAAAAACTCTGAAAGGAGGCACAGAAAGAGTCTTCCTGAGTGATAGAATGTGGGCAACTTTTATTTTCTTTTTACCTTTTTGTATATTGTGAATTTTTTTCTTTTTAGTTGGTGGTCTGACATTACTTTATAATTAGAAAAGCATCGGTCTGCCCATACTGAGCTGGACTATGATGTTGCTGCTCTGTGTCTTGTAGGTGGCCTTGGCCTCTCGAACACCATGTATGCACGGCTAGGGGAGATCATCAGCCAGGATGGCTCCATCACTGTGACCCTGGCGGCGCACCAGGCCATCGGCCTCAAGGTCAGGCGGCTGGGGTTTCTGTGTGAGGGCCTTGCTCCCTTCTTTGAGAAATGGTCAGGCCTGATGCCTCAGGGTCTTGGAGGAGCGTGAACCCAAGCTGCTCTTGCAGGCCTGCCTGCAGTTCTGGTTATACCATGTGGTGCCCAGTCCCTGCCCGCAGCCTCTATTTGGCTCACATGGGCAGTGGTCCTTGGTACATACTGTCCCTTGCCTTTGAGTCTTCCTCCTGGTCCTGTTGTCCTTCACATTCAGGGCCCAGGTCTGATGCTGCTTTCACCTGGGGCTATAGGGGCTATAGGGACCCCCTGCTGTTTGCACATGCCTTCCTCAGCCTGTTGGACACCAAGCATGTGAGGGCAGGTGCAGGGTGATACAGCTCTTAGTAGCAGTCCCATTACTTGGATTATTTCTGCTCAGTGCAGATGGCAAAGAGCTGAGTGAGCAGCACTCCCGAGAGCTTGAGTCCTGGTTGCAGTCATGTGGTGAACACAGGGGACTAAGCCACTTGCACTGGCTGAGAAGTGGACAGCACAGCTCTGGTCTTGATCCAGCACCTTCTGCATGCTGGCTGTGGTTCTGGAAGTCCTGTGTTTTTGCGTGCCTTCATCCAGCCCACCCTGCCAATGGGTAGGAATGCCCCCAATCATAGATGACAAGATGGAGACTCAGAGAAGGGACGTTCCTTGCCAAGGCTCCCTGGCCGGGCCGTGGAGCAGCCACCTTGAAACATCTCAGACGCTGACTCTGAAGCTCTGCTGATCTTGCAGGCTTGTGACCCTGGTGTGTGTGCGGTAGGGGACCCCCAGTAGCCTGGCTGCACATGTTCTGCCCGAGGCTGCCAGCTCAGTGCTCAGGGGTTCTTCTCTTACGTGGAGTAAAGATAAATATTTTCTGCACAAGGTGGATGTGTTACATGCATGTGTCATGATTTCCGTCTAACCCATAGCTGAATTAGGCTGCTTGTGTTTCATTTAGGGGATCATCTTGGCCGGCAGTGAGGAGCAGAAGGCCAGATACTTGCCCAAGCTGGCGTCCGGCGAGCACATTGCAGCCTTCTGCCTGACCGAACCAGCCAGGTCCGTGGCATCCTGTGCCTCTCCCAAGGTTCCCTAGGACAAGGGACTGCTCTGCTTGTTGAGTAGCTGCCTTTACTTCCTCCCTACCTGAAGTCTTCCGGAGAATCAGCTCAGAAACTTCTCACCAGTTCTCTCTCTGGACCATATTTCTTTGTCCCTGGAAGACTGTGAAGTGAGATAGTGTACCTGACAGCAGCCATTGCGTCAGCTTTGTGGTTTACAACACACCTGTGTCTTTAGGCTACAGAGTATGTGGGGCAGGTGGCACTGCTCCTCTTACAGGTTAGAATCTGAGGTCCATTGAGGCTGTGTGGTCAGCCCGGGGTCACACAGCAAGGACAGCAGGGCTGGGACTGGCTTCTGCTGGCCAGTCCCTCACCTGGACATGCTCTCCTGCTTCCCTTCACCTGGAACCTGAGAACACGCTTCCTCCTGGGGTGCCCTAGCTCCTCCTCAGCAGCTCCGAGGAGCCAACGTAGAGCACACATTTCCACATTTAAACCTAAGCCTGCGCTGTCTTCTCTGCCACCTGCGTTCGTGAGTGAAGTTGTACTGGAACATGCCCATCTGTTTACAGAGGCGGCTGCCGTGTTCCAGCAGCAGGGTTAAGGAGGTGGGCAGGCGTCCTGTAGCTTAGAGAGCTAAACATATTTACTGTGGGACCTTTTTTTTTTTTTTTTTTCCAAAATTTGCCAAGTCCCGGGTAAATTTCTGAGAAGCCTCACTTTTCAGGCCCCCAAACCATTCTAATTTATTTATTGCCAGTATCTTTCTCTGTCAACTGTGTCTTTCTCTCTGCAGTGGGAGTGATGCAGCGTCCATCCGGGCCAGGGCTGTTTTAAGTGAAGATAAGAAGCACTACATCCTCAACGGCTCGAAGGTGTGGTCACAGCCACACAGCCTTGTCAGGGCCTCCGCCCTGACCTTTGCTGCCACTGTGTGACTGCAGTCTGTCCGTCATCTCTTGACCCCTCCTTGCATGGATGCTGCCCTGTTTTGGGAGAAGGGGGGAGGGCAGACACTGTGCTACACTGGGTTAAGCTGCCTTTTGGAATGCCCACATTCCACATCAGAGTGCCTGAGACTGAGCCCCTCCTGCTTCAAATCCCGCTTCCTTCTAATAAACACCCTGGGAGGTGGTAGCAGCAGGTGGTGGCTTAAGTACTTGGCAGACCTGGACTGAGTTCCTGGCTTCTGGCTTCTGGCTTTGGCCTGGCCTGGCTCCACCTATTGAAAGAAGATGGTAGTTGTCTGTCTGTCTCTCTCTTTCTCTCTTTTTCTCTGCCCTTCAAATAAATAAAAATTAAAAAAAAAAAAAAAAAAAGGTGGATTGTGGTGCAGCTGGTTAAGCCACATTCTGCAGTGCCTGCTTCCCATATGGGTGCCAGTTCCAGACCCAGCTGCTCCACTTCCAATGCCACTGCCTGCTAGTGGCCTGGGAAAGCAGTGGAAGACGTCCCAAATATCTGGACCCCCATCACCCATGTGGGAGACCTGGAAGTGGAGCCTGGCTCCTGGCTTCAGCCTGGCCCAGCCCCGGCCGTCATGGCCATTTGGGGAGTGAACCAGTGGATGGAAGATTTCACTCTCTCGCTCTCTGTCTCTTCCTCTATGTAACTCTGACTTTCAAATAAATAAATAAATACATCTTTAAAAAAAAAATAGAAGAGATTGAGGCTCAGAGAGGCTGAGTGACGTGTCCAGGTCCCATGTCTTTCTGGTGGCAGGGCCAGGACTGGAGCTCCAGAGTCTCCATGCTTCTGTAGCGCCAGCCCCTCCTTGAGCTGCGTTGTGGGTTGTTGTTGTTGTTGTTGTTGTTTTTGAGACAGGCAGAGTGGACAGTGAGAGAGAGACAGAGAGAAAGGTCTTCCTTTGCCGTTGGTTCACCCTCCAATGGCCACCGCAGCCGGCACGCTGCAGCTGGCGCACCGCGCTGATCCAATGGCAGGAGCCAGGTACTTGTCCTGGTCTCCCATGGGGTGCAGGGCCCAAGTACTTGGGCCATCCTCCACTGCACTCCCTGGCCACAGCAGAGAGCTGGCCTGGAAGAGGGGCAACCAGGACAGAATCTGGCGCCCCGACTGGGACTAGAAGCCTAGTGAGCTGCGGCGCCGGCCGTGGGTTTGTTTTTAATTCTTCTGGTATGCAGCATTTGAAATCTACGCGAGGGCTGGCCGCAGTGAACATCCACATGTCTGGCTGCCAGCATCAGCAGTTATTTTGCTGGGTCCCAGAGCCAGCCGTGTCTCTCTTGTCAGTGGCACCACGTCTGGATTGCGTCTGTGACAATGTCAGCAGGTGTCTAAAAAAAAAAATAAAAGCCATAGTGCAGTTATCACATTTAAAAAGCTGATAGTAAATTTGCTGTCTGGTCGTTGTTCAAGTTTCCCTGATTGTCTCATTCCTTCTTTTGTTTAGCAGTTTGCTTAATCACAATCCAGAGAAGTTCTATACATTGCAGTTTTTTGAACTCTTTCTTTTTCCTTCTCCTATTCCTTCTTTCTTTCCTACCTCTCCCTCTTCTTCTTTTAATTTCCTTTTTGTTAATTGGCAAGCATTATATGTTTTTGTTTTTTAAAGATTTACGTATTTATTTGAAAGGCAGAGTTACAGGGAGGGAGAGTGAGAGGCAGATCTTCTGTCCACTGGTTCACTCCCCAAATGGCCGCAAGACCTGGGGCTAAGCTGGGTTGAAGCCAGGAGCCATGAACTTTTTCCATGTCTCCCATGTGGGCATAGGGGCCCAAGGACATGGACCATCCTCCACTGTTTTCCCAGGCACATTAGCAGGGAGCTGGATCAGAAGTGGAGCAGCTGGGACTCAAACCAGTGCCCATGTGGGGTGCTGGCATTGCAGGCTGCAGCTTTACCTGCTACACTAAAATGCTGGCCCCCCCCCCCCATTTTCTATAACTTCTTGGGGATCCCTTGTAAAAATGAATCAAATTTTTTGGTATCAAAATAAACTCACCTTTTAGTTCAATTTTCCAGAAGCTTTTGAAATACCTCTGTATGTTGTGAAATGATTAAATCTCTTCTTTCTGAAGAACTTGCTGTCAGAATGGACATGTAGAAGACACTCATGTCCCACATCAGAGTGCTTGAGTTAAATTTCCAGCTCTGGTTGCCGGTTCCAGCTTCCTACCAGTGCAGGAAGCTGGTGATGGCTCAAGTAATTGGGTTTCTGTCACCCACATGGGAGACCTGGATTGCATTCCTGGTTCCTGACTTCTATCTGACCCCACTGCATGTCTAGCAGAAGTTGGATGGCAGCAGGAGCTCACCGACAGCAGTGGCGCTCAGGTGTCACCTAGGAGTTTGGTTTTCTCCAGGGTCTTTTTACTTTCTTTCCTCAGGTCTGGATCACTAATGGAGGACTGGCCAGTATTTTTACCGTGTTTGCAAAGACTGAGATTGCTGATCCTGATGGCTCAGTAAAGGACAAAATCACAGCATTCATAGTAGAAAGAGACTTTGGTGGAATCACTAACGGGAAACCTGAAGATAAGTTAGGCATCCGGGGCTCCAACAGTAAGTATTCGGGGTGGGGGAGGGGTGGGGGGGATACTAACCCACTGTTCCACCCAAGTGTCAAGATAAAACGAGATTTCAATAGTTTTGGTTTCAGTCATTTTAGCAAATCAGATTACAAATGCTAAACACTTCTGTGGCAGGATGGATGAATTCCTTCACATTGATTCATTAATTCAATAGACATTGACTGTGTACCTTTCCGTGCACTGAGCTTTGGTGATTTCAAGGTGAGGGACACTAGATCTATCAGCTTTGCGGGGAGGCCATCGTGGGCAGGAAGGGCAGGATAGCGAGGTGCCCTAGGTTAGCATCCTGTTGCAGGAAACCCAGTGTTTCTACCCAGAACCTCCTTCCCCTCGCTCTCGCTCTCGCTCCACTAGCCCAGGCTGACCTGTCGTTGCTGGGGAGCGACTCTTCACTGAGCCTGATGTCCTGCAGAAGTTGTGCTCAGCTGCCCAGTGCTGCCAGAGAGTCCTCATGCCACTGTCTCCTGCGTCTCAGAATGTCCATCCTGGAGGGGACTACATGCTGCCCTGGGCAGCTTCAGGCCCAGTTCTGGGTGTGGCCGCGACCTCAGGGATCCTGCATTCTGGAAGGCAGTATCTGCCATGCCAGCTGCTCCAGCTTTGGGAGACAGAGGGCTGGGCTGTAACCCGAGTCTCACCTGTTAGGAGCCGTGTGTCCTGGAACAAGCTGGTTTGCTTCTCTGTGCTGCAGGTCAGCAGGAGGGGGGTAAGAGAACCTTCCTGTAGTGGTGACTTGAGGAGGAAGTGCCACAGTGTGTCAGGTACTCAGTACGCAGAGATACGGCTCTGACCTGTCCCCACGTGTCTTACCCAGAACGACCAGTGCTGCCTGTTGAGTCCTCAGAATATGCCCCCAGAGGAAGGGGCACGCGCACAGGCCTCCGCAGGCCTTCGGATAGGAAAGAGCCTGGTGGCAGGTGGTGGGGACAGATGGGGAGGGAGGGAGCTGCAGGGGCACAGTCCACCCTGGAGTCTGACCGATGGGCCTTGTGCAGGGGCCTCGCGAGTGGCACAGTGAGGTCGGAGAGGGAGGTGGGATCCTACTCACACCCTGCAGCCTGTGGGGGAACAAGAACCTTTGGCAGAGGGACCTGGTCTTGCAGCCCGAGTACTATATACAGGCCTTAAGCATGACCCTGGTAGTGGCCAGTGAGGTGACAATTTCATCCTGCTCCCCCCAGACTGTTGGGACACAGTTGTAGAGTAGAATAAAAAATCCGCGCCGCAGTTCACCCCCACCTGGCCTGGCCACCCTTGCGTCCTGAGCTTTTCTAGCCTGAGCCCTCGTTTTCTCTTGTGCCTGAGGGAGTGCAGGCAGAGAAGCACCACACGGTGATAAAATCTGACAGTGCAGAGCGGGCTCATGCCTTACAGAACTCTCGACCCTGCAGCTTATAGGGTTTATAAGGGCAAAATCCACGAGGAGGGGAGAGGAAATACATGATAAGGCTTATGTGGAACTAATATCACTTATGATCTTAGCGATACCAGTTACAGTCTTAACATTAGACCCGGGCTTGGGCAGTCATGCTAGACAATTTTGATGCATTCTGCCAGGTGGGATGCAGTGTACTGTTGTTATTGTCTAAGTTTTAGGCCATAGTTAGTTTCAGATTAACTATGGGGGGAGTGCTTTCTCAAGATGGAGTCTTGGGTGCTCTAAAATGGAGTCCCTACTGTCAAGATGTCCCTTTACTCCAGGATAAATTGCAGGAGTTGCTGTGTTTAAATGGCAGAATGTGCAGAACCCTTGTTAGAGAAAATCCCACTCAGCAGCTGCTCTGCTTTCTTCCCTCCTCCCACCACGCCATCCCCTCCAGCGTGTCCACTGCTGCCCACCACGCCGTTCCTGTTGGGGCGAGTACATTCTATTAGCACAGCAGGTCACATGGCCAAACCTACCATGAGCAGACAGGGAAAGGAGAGTCTACTCCTCCCTATGTTAGGAGGGACCTAGAGCAACATCACAGGGGTATGACCGTGTTAGAAGGAAGAGTGGGGACGGACGAGCCCATCTCCCTGTAGGCCTGAGGGAATCCTGTTCCAGTCAGCTTGGTTGGTCTGTTTCTGGCTCGTTCTCATCCTTTAAACAGCCAAGAAATGTCACTTAGAGAAGCTGCCAGAGCCTTGATGAAAGTATTTTCCTCCGCCCTCCGTCTCCCTGCCACAGTATCATCTCCTCTTGTTGAGACTCTGTCTCCCTAACCAGTGTGAGTCCCACAGACACGGGGCCTTTGTCTCTGTCCAGCCCTGGCAGGCGCTGAGTGAGTGAGTGAGTGAGTGACTCGCATGCCTGCTGGTCAGGTGCGCAGTGGCTTGCCGTTGTCAGCTGAGGTCCTCAATTTCCTATGTTTCAGCTTGCGAAGTCCATTTTGAAAACACCAAGGTGCCCGTGGAAAACGTGCTTGGAGACGTCGGAGGCGGGTTTAAGGTGAGTTGCCAGCCGCAGCCCCAGGGAGTGCTGTGCAGTTTCAAGGGGTTCAACTTATTGGGCCCCCTGTGAACACACAACCTTGGATCTTCTTGCTGCCAGATTTATTTATTTATTTGCACATTGAGAGATCACTTATGTAACATAAAATTCACGGTTTTAAAATGCAGTCCTGATTGGATTTTAGTGTATTTGTTTTGTGACAACAGATCACCTGTGAATGATTTCCACCGTGCCGGACACAAATACAGCAGCCCCGCCCCTTACCCGTGGCAGCCACTGTTTGTTTTACTTTGCCTCTGTAGTTTGTTCAGATTCCACAGCATGGAAGTATAGATAGTATGAGGTCTGTGGTGACTGGTGTCGACCTAAAGAAAGTGAGGCTGTTTGAAAAACCAAAGTTGGAGTTCACTCCAGAGTGCTGGGTGAGGACCTGAGCCCAGGAGGAAAGGTTTTCCGGTGACCTGTACGGCTGCTCGCGGGCCTGGGTCCCTGGCAGCTGTGCATCGCCTTTCCCAGAGTGATCCGAGCCGGGATCACTCCCCGCAGTGTCAGTGCGCATCGAGTTATTTGGGATATTTGGTTATGGCCTTAGAGAGACGGACACTTGGTAGAGAAACACGGCCTTCCTTCTGATGCTGTCTGTGTGCTGGAAGACGCAAGCACACGGCCATTAACTGTCGCCTGAGGTTTGCCCGGAGCTGTGAGGCTCACGTGTCCACCCCGTTCACCGTCTGCCTTAAACTGCACGCAGGACTTCTTCAGTCCTGGGCTGAGAGGCTGGTCTGATTCTGCCGACTCTGGGAGACCCTGCTCCACGGCCTGCTCCCAGCAGAGAGCCCAAAGGCGTCATCTGAGTCGTGCAGCTTTTGCGTTTGGGCTCGCACTTCTTCCCCTGGCAGCCTGCTTCCCGGGGCCCTCCACGTCGTAGCAGGGACCGGCATGTCACTGCCTGTCACGCCTGACAGTAGAACTCTCACTTTATTTGCCCGTTCTTCAGCTGAGGGCACGTTACTGTGGTCAGTAATGCTGCCGTGAAATCCACATTGCAGTTTTTGAGTGGGAAGTACGTTTCCGTTCTCCTGGGTGTACACCTGCAGCTGCACCACTTTCACTCTGTCAGGCGCGTGTGAGGGTCCTGCTTTCTCATATTCACCAATGCATGTTAGTGCCCATTATACTTTATTTTTTTAAAATATGTATTTATTTATTTGAAAGAGCTACACAGAGAGAGAAGCAGAGAGAGAGAGAGAGAGGTCTTCCATCTGCTGGTTCACTCCCCACTTGGCCGCAACAGCCGGAGCTGTGCCAGTCTGAAGCCAGGGGCTTCTTCCGGGTCTCCCATGCAAGTGCAGGGGCCCAAGGAGTTGGGCCATCTTCTGCTGCCTTCCCAGGCCATAGCAGAGAGCTGGATCAGAAGTGGAGCAGCTGGGACCCAAACTGGCACCCATATAGGATGCTGGCACTGCAGGCGGCAGCTTTACCCACTACACCACAGCACCACCCGCTAGTGCCCATTTTAAACATTGTAGCCATCCTGGTGGATGTGAGGTATCTCACTGTGGGTTCATTTGCATTTCCTTCATAAGTAGTCACATTCAGTGTCTTTCCTTGTGTTACTGTATGTCTTCCTTGAAGAAACATCTATTCAGATCTTTTGCCCATTTTTATCTTGGGCTGTTTGCCCTGTCTTGATTTACTGCGTGGTGCTTACAAGTAGCTTTACCTTGTTGAACCCTGTGCACCTTGGCTGTGAAGCAGGGACCAGAACAATCCCTCCCTGCCTCCCTCCTTCCCTCCCTCCTGGGGTGTTAGGAACATCAGGTAAGGCTCAGAATAGAATGAAGCATCTGTAGCCAAAGCTCCTGGCACCTAAGGTTGCTCAGTGAATGTAGAATGAAAGTCTGGGGAGGCAGGAGGACAGACAAGGAACAGGCTGTGCGTGGTGACAGCTTTATTATTCGTGTGACCCGGGTGTCATTAGAGAATACGGACAGACGGGAGACAAAATTCCCGGAGCCTATTGCTTCGGAAGAGACTTGGCGCTCTTCATACTTCTGGTGCTTGTCTTTTAGGTAATACACCATGTAAATGTGGATGATGTGTCGTCTATTATAGCCTGCATTTATTTACTTATCAGTAAATCAGCCATCTTCTGGTACTGTTGAATATGTATATTAATAACGTTGAGTACTGTAGAGAATTTCTCCATGTCACAGTTCATTCTTATTACTTGGCATTTGACATGGTGTTCATTTCTTCCAAATCCAGAACCATATTTTGTGACATATATCCTTGGATATTGCCTTGCACACTTCTCTATTTTAAAAAAAAATTTTTTTTTATTTATTTGAAAGAGTTACAGGGAGAGAGGCAGAGACAGAAAGAACAAGAGAGGTCTTCCATCCGCCGGTAGTCTCCAGATGACCTCAATGGCTCAGACTGGGCCAGACTGAAGCCAGGAGGCTGGAACTTCATTTGCAATTCCCATGTGTGTTGAGGGGCCCAAGTACCTGGGCTGTCTTCTGCTGCTTTTCCAGGCACATTAGCAGGGAGTTGGGTTGAAAGTGGAATAATCAGAACTCGAATCAGCACCCTTGTAAGATGCCAGCATTGCAAGCAATGGCTTAACCTGTTGTTCTGCACCACCCCTTGTCTGATTATTTCTTGAGTTTAAATACCACCAGGGGAATTACTGGGGCATGGGTCTGTGACCTTTGTCTTCTTAAGTGCCCTTGAGCTTTCTGGATCTCTGCAGGTGGCCATGAACATCCTCAACAGCGGGCGGTTCAGCATGGGCAGCACAGTGGCCGGGATGCTCAAGAGGTTGATTGGTAGGTAAGTGGGGGCCAGGGGCCCTCTGCTGCCCCACTGCAGCCTGGGAGACGGCCATCCCCTCCCTACTGTGCCCCCGGGGGATTGGTGTCTCCTCTGGGAAGCTTTGATGCCCAGCACCCCTTCCCCTTTGGGTGGCTGAGCTGGGCCACCTGGCTGGGTGGTCAGCACTGGTGGAGCATCTGATCCGTGGTTCAGAGCAAAGAAGGTCCTCCCCAGGGCTTGTATCTCAGCGTTCCTGTTTCTCCTGCACACAAAGGGCAGGGGCGAGGGAGGACGTCCTGGCAGGGGCAGGGAGGGGCTGCTGCTGTGACCCTCCCAGGTTCCCGTCCCAGAGGTGACTGGCCTGGGATCCTCCCCTGTCCCTCAGCTTGGATCTCCCTTTGTTCTTTGCTATCAGCACATGGAAAACCTACATTTTCGTTTGCCCATGAACTTAAAACAGCCCATCACCATTCTCATGGGATTGACTGCACGGAGCAGGTTGCTTAGGAACTGCGTGTTCCTTAGTGCACCGTACCTCTCGGTCAGGACAAGATGGACGCACACAGGCTTAGTCTGGGGTTTTCCTGCATGAGGCCTCTGCTTCCCCATCTGATAGACCCCTTAGTGTCCGAGTTGGGGCTTTCATGGTCAGCGTGTTCTCCAAAGGAGGCAGAACCTCTGAGGAATTCCCACAGCCCAGAAGCGTGCTGATGCAGGGACTCATGCTGAGACCTCTGGGAGACTGGATCACGCCTGTGGGAGCATTTGGCAGCAGCGGGGGGGGTTGCAGAGCTCAACTATATGCCTTCAAGCCCAGGCCCTCCTGCCGTGCACGTGAGTACCCGTGCCACGCCTGGGCCACTCCACCTCTGTGTGGCACTGTTGGCCCTAACTTTGTGCGAGGCATCCCTCACCTTCCATCTGGTTTCATCTTGGCAGCAACTCAGTAAGCCGGGCAGTGTTCAGGGAGATGAGCGTTTCGGCCGCCTCCTGCCTGCTGAGGATGGTGCAGGATTCTAACCCAGGTCCCTGACCACGGCCTACTGTAAGAGGGCTCTAGTTGTTGGGGTATTGGTCTCAGCAGACACCTGTCTCCCAGTTGCTGCCTGAGTGTCAGAAGGGTAATGGTGATAGCCTATGAGACCATGCTGGCCAACCAGAGATATTCTGGTTCTTTGTAACAACTCTGCTCTTCTGCAGAAATGACCGCTGAATATGCCTGCACGAGGAAGCAGTTCAACAAGAATCTCAGTGAATTCGGATTAATTCAGGTACTCATGCTCACGAGTGCTGTGCTTCTTGACTTCACTTTGTAGACACGCAAAGTGTGCTGTCTGCCCTCCCTGCACCTGTGACTCCCATGCGGGGCGTGCAAAGATGGCTGAATAAGGTTTGATGATGAGGTCCCTTCCTTTTATTTAAGCATGGGTGTAGTTCACTCTCCCCCACCCCTTCTTGCTCTGTGGTTGTTTTTTTTTTTTTGGAAAGAGTTATGGAGAGAGAGGGAGAGACAGAGAGAGAGGAGAGAGAGAGACCTTTCATCCAATGGTTCACTACCTGAATGGTCCTGGCTGAGCCAGGCTGAAGCTGAGAGCCTAGAACTCCATCTGGGTCTCCCATGTGGGTTCAGGTGCCCAAGCACTAGAGCCACTTTCTGCTGCATTTCCAAGTACATCAGTAAGGGGCTGCATATGAAATGGAGCAGCCAGGATATGACCCTGCTCGCATACGGGACACTGACATTGTAGGTGGCGTCTTAACCCACACCACAGCGCCAGCCTGGGGCACGGCTCTCCTGAGCGGTGAGCCCTCTGACGTAAAGGCCTGCTCGGCTGATAGGCAGATTGGATCTCAGCTAAGCAGATGACTTGATGGGTGTGTGTGTGTGTGTTTAATCCTCCAGGAAAAGTTTGCACTGATGGCTCAGAAGGCCTACGTGATGGAAAGTATGTCCTACCTCACCGCGGGGATGCTGGACCAGCCCGGCTTCCCCGACTGCTCCATCGAGGCCGCCATGGTGAAGGTAATCCCGGCGTGAGAGCCCGGGAGCCGGTGCAGGAGGGACTCAGAAAGGCTCCGTCGCCTTGGCCTCCAACCGCGGGGCTGCCTCCTGCCTCCCTCCCGCCTCCCTCCTCTTGTCGGTTCACGGGCCAGCTCCCAGCGGGCTCGTGTTTACGACGCACCCCGGGGACCGCACCCCAGGGGTAGGCAGGCCCTGGGGTCGCGCAGGGGAGAAGCAGCAAAGCACAGGCCCGGCCGTGCGTCGGTTTGCAGGCAGCACGGTGCTCCCCAGGGCGGCGCGGGGCAGCTTTTCCAGAGGTCAGTGCTCAGCAGCAAGAGGAGACGTAGCCAGCCATTGCTGGGACGTCACAGCAGGGCGTGGGGCAGCGGGCTCGCTGGGAGGGACCATCTGTTCCCCCTACTTCCTGGTCCTGGGCTTCCTCGTGTGGGGTATTTGCAGTGGGAGATCCTGGGGCTTTCTGTTGGTGTTCGTAGGCAGGGCTCAGTGTCAGGTGGAATAAGTAAGATGGCTGCCCCACTTGGTTGCCCTGAATCATTCCCGCACTGGGCTCCGACTTGGGCTTGAGAGACTGGGTGGGAGACGCCCAGTGCAGGGCTCGCCCGGGCGGGGCAGGGCCTTCTCCCTGGAGGTCACACGGTTCCTGGCGCTCAGTGAGTCCCCTGTGGGTGAGTCTGTGTGTTGGTTGTGCCTCAGCCATCACCAGCGCCCACCCACGGAGGCTGTGCCTCTTCTGGGTGCCAAGCCTGGAGCTGAATCCGGCAGTGTCTCCTCCCCCAGTCGCTCGCGGTGTGGAGGGACAGAAACAGGGCCTGGCTGCCGGTGCGAGTGCAGAGGACGAGTCCCGGGTGGTGGGGCTGGTGCGGCTGGGCTTGCTGCACGAGGTGGAACCTTTCTTCAGTGGGAACTGAAAAACAGGAGCTGACGCAGGCATGGAGGCGGGCCCAGAGGTGTGGAAGGCCAGGGCAGGGATGGGCACCGCAGGCCGGTGGTGGGGTTGAGGAAGGCTGAGGACTTCCGGTCATGCAGCCAGTTCCTCCCTGGGTCAGTGTCATCCCAAAGCCCAGTCCGTCTCAGCCACCGCGCTGCTCCTGGTGCCTTGGCCGCTCTGCTGGGAAGGGATTGGGCCCCGGTGCCCCTGTGCTGACCTCTCCCTGGGTCCCTGCAGGTGTTCAGCTCAGAGGCCGCCTGGCAGTGCATCAGCGAGGCCCTGCAGATCCTCGGGGGTTCGGGTTACATGAAGGACTACCCGTACGAGCGCATGCTGCGGGACTCCCGCATCCTGCTCATCTTTGAGGTGAGTGCCCGGCTGTGGCCCGCTGTGGACCCCTGCCGATGCCCTCCCCTCCCCTCCTGACCCTCCCTGTCCTGGGGATGCTGCTGAGACCCAGCAGGGCCCCGGCGCCCAGGCTAGCCTGTGTGTGCTCACCCTGGACCCTCTCACAGCCCTGCTCAGCATGGGGAGAGGACTCCACGCAGGTGGCGCAGCTCACTCCTCAGCTCTCCCAGCCCGGCCCGTATGCCCAGGTGGCCCGCTGGGGCTTTTCCTTGCCAGGAGGCGTCTGACCTGAGGGGGTGGGACAGACATCTGTGGGAGACTGGGCTTCCAGTCTCAGCTCTGGCTCTGCCTCAAATGCACATTGTCTGGGTCTTGGTTTCCTTCCCAGTCAGCTGAGGCCATGTAGCAGGGCCCTCTGCTCTCCCAGGCCTGGTTCTCTAATTGCCGCCCTCCAGAGTTCACACTCCTGGTCAGGTCACTGAGCATGTGTGGGGCAGGGGTGGGGCCTCCCAGATGACCTGGGGATGCCAGGTCCTGATGGGGCAGTGTTGCTGACAGAGGGTGCTGGGACACAGGTACGATGAGAGCCAGGTGAGCGACTGTCCAGACTGGGCAGTGGTTCTGTGGAACTCTTGCACTTGGTCCTCAGGGGCAAAAGCACCTTGGGGAAATAGGCCATGCCAGGGCCAGACGGGACTTGTCCAGCACCAGGCGACTGGAGTGAGGGAGGAAGACGTGAGAGCAGCGGTTGGTCCTGCAGCTGGTGCAGTGGGCAGGGGGTGGAGCCCTGAGGATGGTGGGAAGGCTGAGATGGCAGCCAGAGGAGGGGGAGTTACTCAGTTGTATTTGTGGTCTGAGAATTTGCCCAGGACCTATGTGGAAAGAGACTGGTGAGTAGATGGCCAGGACTGAACCTTGGCCGGGAGGGGGTGGGAGCCGGAGCCACCAGCCTAATCATGAGGGGCATCCTTAGACTCCAGTCTTGAGTCCAAGCTCCTAGGCTGTCACACGCAGGGGCGGCCCCAGTGGCTGCTGTGTCCCCAAACAGACCCCGTGGGTCATAGCCATCTCCTCCCCCTTGGTGGACAGACCTGGTGTGGGCCAGCCTGAGTGGCCGCTGCCTAAGGGCAAGGATGGTTCCAGTCCTCCCAGGAGAGTGGGGTTCCTCTGTGCCTGGGAAGAGTGGTCAGCAGGGGGTCAGGAGGCCCGCCAGGCCATGGTCAGAAGGCACAGAGCCTCCCTGTGAGGCAGAGGCTCTGCCTGGAGACCCCGTGCTCAGAGCGCTGGGCTCTGCCTGGAGGCCTCCACGCCCCTGCTTCCTCTCCTGTGGGAGCCTCACTGCCCGTGGGGCCAGCCTGGCTGCAGGGTAGAGTCCTCAGTCCCTGGTGCTGGTTGTGTGGCCTGAGCCTGGCCTCGGCACCTGTCTGTCCCACAGTGCGATCGTGCCCAGTGGGCCAACAGCGGGGTGTGGCTGCCCTGGGGACTCAGGCCTCTATCCGGAGCTGGGGGTGGATAGGGGGCTCCCCAGCAATGCTGTGCCAGTATCAGTGTCCCTGTCTACCAGGAACTCCGGGTTCCATTTTTAAAAGGAGGTATAGCCCTGGAGGGAGGTGTTATCACGGTCATGAGCAGTGGTGGGTCCCAGTAGGAAGCCTGGGCCATCTGGTCAGCTTGCCCCTTTGTCCCCATGTTTCTGAGCCCTGGACACTGCGCTGCTTGGTTCCTTCCAGTCCTTGCATTGCCCTGCCCTGTCCCCACGGGGTGGTCTCTGATGTTCGCATTGCTGCCCTGTCCCCACGGGGTGGTCTCTAATGTTCACGTTGCTGCCCACAGGGAACCAACGAGATTCTCCGGATGTACATTGCCCTGACTGGACTGCAGCACGCCGGGCGCACCCTGACCGCGAGGATCAAGTAGGTGTCATTCTCTCAGGACCAAGTGGTCCACCTGCCCAGCAGAAGCCCACCTGGGGCAGCAACAGGAAGCGGCTTCCCTGGGCTGGGAGGGGTGTGGGCGGGAAGAAGGCGCAGTCTCGCTGTGCTCACTGCAGGCTGGCTGCAGGGCGGGGGCAGCCTGGGCTGGTGAGTAGGGGCCCAGAGAGCCAGGGGTCCTAGCTTGGCCTCCACCCAGGGGTGAGAGGAGGGGTGGGAACGTCTGGCCTGTGGCAAAACCATTTGGTCTGGCCCTGCCAATGCAACTGCAGGAGGAACTCGGTATTCAGTAATAAATTTGTAATAGGCCAGTCTTTAAGTTGATGATTTTGTGTGGCCCTCGAATGGTGTCACAAACATCCTTTGCACAGAGAGCATTCCTTAGCCCCCTGGAACCCTCTCTTCCCAGTAGCTCCCCTTTCCCACACTCTGGGGCTGGTTTCTCAGAAGCTGAGGGAAGGTGTCCCTCAAGCAAGTGCTGGCCAACATGAGATGGGCACGTGTCTTCTGTACTCCCTCCGCTTGGACCCAGGGGCAGAGCCATCAGAAATCATTGCTGGTGCCCACGCACAGGTGCTCATGGCATTTGGCGGACTCCTTAACAGGGAGCCAGCCAGGAATCCAGTGTGGCTATGCACCCTGTGGACAGAGCACATGTGAGCCCCTGGAGGCAGCTGGCCCTTCCCTGCCAGGCTGAGGGTGTTGGCCTGCAGCCAGAAGCCTCCCAGCCAGCCTGGGAAGGCCATGGAGCTCCAGGGTACAGAGAGACCACACTGGTGGGCAGTGGGAGCTGGTGGCGGTTCCTCAGCTCATAGGACTGTGGGCTCTCTGCAGGGAGCTGAAACGGGGCAACATGAACACAGTTATGGAGACCATTGGCCGGAGGCTTCGGGACTCCCTGGGGAGAACTGTGGACCTGGGGCTGACAGGCAATCTTGGCGTTGTGCATCCCAGTCTTGCGGTGAGTGGGCGCAGCGGGTGTACCTGCTTATCTGGTGCCCACCTGCCGGATGTCCCTGTCCCAGACAACCTGTGCTGGGCTCTAGGCCCATCAGGGGAGGTCGGGGAGGACCAGCTCAACCAAGGTTCCCAGGTGTCCCCCACCCACCAGTCTTGCCCATATCTGGGCCCCTCACCTTGGAAAATTGACCCAGGGTGATAGTGGGGGCTTAGGCCTCAGAGCCCCAGGCCTTGGAGCCCCGGGCTGTGTGCCATCCAGGTGGGACCAGTCTGGGTACCATGGGCAAGGAGGTGAGGTGAGTCCTGTCTCCTGGCCTGTAGGACAGTGCCCGCAAGCTCGAGGAGAACGTGTATTACTTTGGCCGCACTGTTGAGACGCTGCTGCTACGCTTTGGCAAGGTAGGCAGGCCCCTTGGCCAGGAAGCCAGTTTGTGCAGGGGCTTTGGGAGCAGGCCTGGGACAGGCCTCTGCCCCACGGGTGTGGCTGCATCTATGCTGCCAAGCAACCACTCACCTGCTGGGTGAGCTTTCCAGGCTCTTCTCCCTGGCACCTTTTAGGTGAGGGGAGGGCAACCCTGCCTGTGGCCCAGCCCAGTTTCTGGACCTTGGCCGTGGCCCCTTCCCGAATCTGCACAGAGCAGAGAACAAGGAAGATGGAAGGTTGCTGTGACCCCACCTCCTGCAACCCTAGGGGAAATGGATTCTGGGCCCTACTTTACCCAAGAACAGACTTCAACAAAGCCACGTGTGGGGCGAGGGAGATGGGTCCAGGGGAGGCAGCAGGGCAGGGGCAGGCTCTGCACTCAGCCCTTGTCTGCAGACCATCGTGGAGGAGCAGTTGCTGCTGAAGCGTGTGGCCAACATCCTCATCAACCTGTACGGCATGACGGCCGTGCTGTCCCGGGCCAGCCGCGCCATCCGCCTCGGGCTCCGCAATCACGACCATGAGGTGAGGCCCTGGCAGCCCTCTAGCTGAGGCTGGGAAGGGGGCGCTGTCGGGGAGTCCCAGGAGGCCACGACCACATGCTGGTCACTGAGCGGGAGGGGGAGTCCCAGAGACCTGCAGGTGTGGCCTGGGGGCGCTGTGCTCGGCCACTCCGTCATCTCCTGCCTGAGAGAAGAGAGGGGGCAAGGGGCAGGGCCCCCAAACAAGAGCTCTCAGCCCAAATGCCTGTCCATGCTGTAGGGAGGTGGATGAGGGCACTGGGCAGGCCCTGTGCACTGGGCCAGGAGCCCCCTGTGGCCAAGAGGCTGCAGCTCAGGCCGTGCCCCAGCGCTCGGTGCTCAGGCTTGCTGACCTCACTCCGGCAGGTCCTGCTGGCCAACACATTCTGCATGGAAGCTCATCTGCAGAACCTCCTGAGCCTGTCTCAGCTGGACAAGCGTAAGTGGGGCGGCCGCGGGGAGCGGGGGAAGGGCCTGGCTCCGGGGAGCTGTTCCTGGGGCCTGCTGCCTGCTCACAAGCTTCTGCCTTGAGGAGAGCCTGCGCCAGGCCTGGGCTTCTGTGCGACAGCACCTGCACGGCAGAAGCACACACAGGTGAACCTCACCTGTCACCTGTCACCTGTCACCGTGGCTATTCTGTATGGAGCAGGGCCCTCACACACAGCCTCTGTGCTGGCCCTGCTGGCGTCCACTGAGCAGGCCTGCCGCATTCTTGTGGCTACCTGGGAGGGCTCACACTGCACTGGACTCAGGAGACAGCATTTACCCAGCTCCTCCACCCCTGCACCCCAGCCAGACCGCACCACAGCTCTGCCCTGTCTCAGGCCCTGGCCCTGAGAACATGGGTCTGTGTGCCTGCTCCTGTTCGCCTGTGGTGTGCTTCCTCCTCCTAGCTACTGGCCTGGAGACTCGGATCAGCCCTGTTGCCAAGGATGGGGAGAGGCTGCTACCGTTGTGTCCCTTGATGTGGAGCGTGGCTGCCCTCTGGCCTACAGGGCGGTCACGTGCTGTGGAGGAGGATGTGCCTTCATTGAGACGCACAGACTGGGGGGTTTTCAGACAAGAACAGGATGAGGCCTTTTTATTCAGAATGAAACCTCTGTCCCTTTTCCTGTGGCCCAGAAGCGTCCCTGGGTGTGGAGGAGGGGCGCCCGAGGCTGCCTCACTGCGGGGGCTGACTGCCAGCGCCTGGCTTGTTCCACGTGATCACGATACAGAGAGATGACCGCCCTCTCTCTTCCCTCCCAGACGCACCAGAAAACCTAGATGAGCAGATTAAGAAAGTGGCCCAGCAGATCCTGGAGAAGAGAGCGTACATCTGTGCCCACCCTCTGGACAGGGCGTCCTGAGGTGCTGACAGCTCCCCCTCCTGCCGCTGCCCCCAGGCCATGGCCAGTGCTGCACACCGCTGTCTCCTGCCAGGAGGTGGAGAACTCTGGGTTGCCTGGCTGGAACGTTCATACCCAGGCTGCACCTGGAAGGCTCTCTTCTGGCCAGAGGAAGTCCTGCCGCTGTCCAGCAGGAGCCTGGCTTCCACATGGCGCGGGACAGCTGACACCTGCGATGGTTTAGAAGCCACCACAGGGGACCTGGGGCTGTGCTGCCACCTCGCTGCCTGGGGCTAGCGGGGACCTGTGTCAGGTGTGAAGAGCCCTTCCTGTGAGACCACACGTTGACAGCTGTGTGTGTGTCATTCACTCAGACTAGGAGTGCAGTGCAGTGACAGCATGTACCAGGAGCCAGGGAGTGAAGAACATAAAACATCCCGATGTGCAGGACTTCGCGCTCTGGCTGTGCTCATCACGAGGTTCCTGACTCCGCCTTTAGTGCATGGACCACCTTTGTCCTCAGCCTGAGCACTGAAGGGCTGGTGCCCAGTGCAGGGCTGCGGGGCCGCGGGCCATGGGCTCCTTCTCTGGTGACGGGGGACCTGCTGCCCGGTGCACAGCAGCATCCACCTCTTGCAACCTGGGGCTCTGCTCCCCGTGTGCGCAGAGGTCACGGGGCGGCTCTTGAGGTGGCAGCAGCAGGCGCTGGCCTTCCCTCGGGCTCCTTCCTGCTGCTGCTGGCAGCTGGGGGTGCTGAGGCTGCAGAGCCTGCTGTGGGTGCTGCCCTGAGGGGGAGGCAGGCTGGGCTCAGACTCCTCTACGCTGTGAGACTGCGCACGGGCCACTAGGTGGGAGCACTGAGTTGGCCTGGTGGGGCTGGTGTGCTCCCAGGATCTGGGTAACTTTAATCTGTTTTGTTTTGTTTTTATGATTTATTCATTTATTTGAAGGGCAGAATTAAAAAGAGAAAGAGAAGGAGACAAAGTAAGATCTTCCATCTGCTGGTTCACTCCTCAAATGGCCGTGGAGCTGCACCAATCCGAAGCCAGGAGCCAGGAGCTTCTTCCAGGTCTCCCACGTGAGTGCAGGCGCCTGAGCACTTGGGCCATCTTCCACTGCTTTCCCAGGCACATTAGCAGGGAGCTGGATCAGAAGTAGAGCAGCCGGGATGCTGGTGCCACAGGCAGCAGCATTACCCGCTATGCCATCGCACCGGCCCCACCGTAACTGTTTCATCTTAAAGAGGAAAGTTGGGGGCCGGCGCTGCGGTGCTGCTGGTGAAGCCACCACTTGAGGCCCCTGCTTCCATGCTGTTCTGGTTCCAGTCCTGACTACTTTGCTCCAGTCACCTCTCTGTTCATGTACCTGGGAAAGCAGCACAAGATGAGCTGAGTGCTTGGGTCCCTGCTGCTTATGTGGAGACCTGGATGGAGTTCCAGGCCCTTGGCTCCAGTCTGGCCCAGCCTCAGCTGCTGCGGCCCTGTGGGAGTAAACCAGTGGATGGAGATCGATCAAGGGATCTCTCTGTCTCTCTCTCTTCTCCCTCTCCCCCACCCCACCACCTCCCTCCCTCCCCAGCCTTCCCTCGCCCTCTCCTGCCTTTCAAACAAACAAATAAATTTTTTTAAACAAATCAGTTGATAAATACGGTGACACTGGAAGTCATGTCCCAGTGAAGCCGGAAGTTCTGCTTTCGGCTGGGAAGCAGCGGTGGCAAGGAGGCACTGCACAAACAGAGCTCCTGTCTCCTGTGGACAGTGCTGTGGAAAGGAGGCTGCACAGAGCCAGTGTGCAGGGGAGGCTGTGGAGAGGCTGTCAGACCCTCCTTCCTCTGGGCAGCCTCTGAAATGGCTTCCCTCTGCACCCGGTGCAGGGAAGGCCCTCATCAGCCCAGCGTCTCCGTGTGTCCAGGTGGATCTAGGAGGCCCAGTGGCCAGTTTGGGTCTCCCCCTCTCATCTGCAGTTTCAGGTTTCTCTCCAACCCGGTGAGAGAAACCTGGGAGACCTGGATGGAGTTCCGGCCTCCTGGGAGGCTATGGCTATTGTGGCCTTTTGGAGAGTGAACCAACACATGGAAGATCTCTCTTTGTCTCTCCCTTTTTGTTATTCTGCCTTTCAAATTCAAATGAATTTGAAAAAATTTAAAAGTAAAGCTTGGTGTCTCAACATGAAACAAATCCACTGATCAAGTCTCCCGAACATCCAAAAGCTTGTAACACAGAGTAACAGGTCAAGGACATTTCCAGACACATCTGGGGACTGCGTAAAATGATGCAACTTTCAGAAAAACCACCTGGCAGTAGCAAGAGCCTACAAAAAGTCCCCACTCACAAATCACTCAGGACGTGGAGCAAACAAAGGGTCCCAGGGTGGATTTACCTCGGCACCTCCGCGTCCAGCCAGGAGAGGGCGCCGCGGAGCAGCCTCAGGTGCGCGGGCTGCAGAGCCGCTGGGGAGCGCGAAGCTGGTTAGGAGCAGGGCTCCGGGGCAGGGAGCTGTGCTGGCTGATGTCACGTTCAGTGTCGGGCACCTGACACTGTAAGATCTGCGCCTTTTCCGTGTTTCGGCAGACACAGTCATGTCCCTTCCACCCCAGAAAGGGCATTTGCATCACCAGCAAAGTTCCTTCCTGTGGCAAGATGGTGGGTGATTTTTGCTTCAGCTTTGTGAAATATCTGAAATGGCTCCAACAGTACTGACTTCAGCAAATTGAGGTGTTTTTGTTTTCCTCTGGGGCCTGGACTGTCCCCCATACCAGCCACTTCCCATCCTCCAGCTCAAAACAGAGGGGCACAAGGAGACGTCTGACTCTGCTCACACTGAACCTTAGACAAAAACCTTGTGGATCCAAGTGGAATAGTTTCAGGGCTGCCCGACAACAGGCACACAGACAGGCCTGATCCCCCACCCCAGGCATGGGGAGCTGAGACAGCCAGGGGTCCTCTGGCGGCTGCACTGTGGAAAGCCCTGCGCATGACTGACCCAGCGAAGTCAGTGTTCAGAAGATTCCGTCCGGGAAAGCAGCTCCCGTACGATGGGGATGCGGTAGGGGTGGGTGTCACTGTCACTCTTACCTGAGCACCACCTTGCTGTAATCAGAGTCCTCTGTGAAGTCCAGAGCCACATGGAGAACTGGTCTGCTGGTGGGAGGGGCCCAGCCCTGGCCAACTGCAGGAGAACCCCCCTCTGCTGCAGCTCTCCTGAGCTATGGTGGCGGACCCCCCACTCGTGCCTGAGGGTCGGGTGGCCCGTGTGCCCTCATCCACCCCACCATGCCCGGGGCTCACCTGCACACCCTCTCTGTCAGCCTGTGCTTGCTTCTCTTTGCTGTGCAGTAGGAGCTTGCTGGCGATCGTGTTGTGTTAACATCTGGGTCCCATTGCAGTCACTGCTGTAGGACACAACACCCTGCACGCAGGGGCTTAAGACAGCGGCTCCTTTGCTCTTCACTCTGCAGTCTGGGGAGGGCTTGGTGGCAGCAGCTTGTGTCTGCTCCACACAGCGTCAGCCCAGGTTGCTAAGTGAAGTCTGGAGTCTGGCTCTCAGGTTTCTGAGGTTGGACCTGGCTGTCAGCGGGAAGTGCAAGCGGGGCAGCTGCCTGGGCCTCTGCAAATGGCCGCTCTGGCTTCCTGGCAGCATGGCGGCCGAGCACGTGCGGTGTGTGCCGCAGAGGAGCGAGGCGGCTGTGTGTAAGATTTATTTATTTATTTGAAAGGCAGAGTTACAGAAAGAGGGGAAGAGACAGATCCGCTGGTTCACTCCCCAAATAGCCACATCGGCTAGAGGTAGGTGGGTCCAAAACCAGAAGCCAGGAGCTTCTTCCAGGTCTCCCACATGGGTGCAGGGGCCCAGGCACTGGGCCATCTTCTACTGCTTTCCCAGGCACATGAACAGGGAGGTGAGCCCGAAGTGGAGCAGCCAGGACTGGAATCAGTGCTCATATGGGATGTTAACGTCACAGGCAGTAGTTTTACCCACTACACCACAGCACTGGCCCCAGATTCTCATTTCTGATGTGTTCAAAACTGGTGGCTGTATACACATACAGAAGTGGGCATTGGACCTTTGTCGTGCACCCACGGCCTCTCCCCCAGCTTGGGGAGAGATTGGCCATGGTCCCGGGTGATGACTGATCCAGGACCCTTTTGGGGGAAAACAGCCACAGCTACTAGGGGGCCTCGAGGAGCCAGAGCCCTGACTGCCCTTACTGAGGGGCCCAGGGGCAGGTGCATCCTAGTAGATGCGCCGTGGGCATCTGTCTTAGCACTTCGGGTTTCTAGATAGTGGTCCCTAGGCTACTGGGGCTGGGGCGTAGGTGGGTGGCAATGGCTGGCTGGCCCAAGCCCCCTCCCACGGGACGTGCTGTCCTGGCACAGCTGTTCTCTGCCCGGTTTTCACACTGGCCGAGCCCGAGCAGTACCAGAAGGCCCCAGCAGGTGTGCAGGATTCTGGAAGGGCCATCCCATCCTCTGGCCCGGGAGGTGTCCCTGGGAGGCTCAGGCCCTGGGTTCCGCCACTGAGCTCTGGGACCCAGAGTGGATCCTGTAAGAACCCAGAGCGTCAGTTTTCCCCACAGCCATGTGGGTGTGGAACCTCAGCTCCTGTTTCCCTGAGCCAAGAGCCGAGTGGGACCACGCTCCCTCCACAGAAAACTTGCCACGGCTCCCCAGTGCCACGGGCTGCCTGCCCTCCAGGCCATGTAGCAGGGGCCTGGCCCAGGCCTACAGCATCATCATCCCTTCCTTGTGCTGTGGGTGAACCTGTGCCTGGCTGGGAGACTGCCTGCCTAGCCCATGCAGGAGGTTAGCAGGGCGTGGCACACCATGCCTGCCTGGATGGCCTGACTGCTGGCAGGTGGCAGGAGCCCCAGGCACATCCCCCACCCTCCCACCCCTGTTGAAGGGTCTTGTAGTTGCCAATCAGGTAAACAGCTCCGGGTGTGGCCCAGGCCTATCGAGACCACCTGGAAAGCTACTAGGCTACGTGACCTCCAAGCTGATTAGAGGAGCAGAGCGGCACCAGTATTGGCTTTACCCTATAGAATTACTGTGGCCTTGACTTAGCTACGCCCCTCTGCCTGCCTTTAAAACGTGTGCTTGGCTGTTTATAAACAGACACGTTTGCAGAAACTTGTCTCCAGTGCTTCTTGTCGAAGAACTCCGTCGCCCCACCATCCCACAGTGCACAGGCCTTGCAGGATGAGCCTCCACTGCACTTGCCCTGGGCTTCCTCCCTCCGGGCCTTTGCACCTGCTATTGCCCTGCCGGGCACGCCTTCTCTGGCGCTCACTGCCTGGCAACCCCAACCTTTGGCTCTAGTCACCTGTGCCGGGGAGCCTGCACCCGTGCCCCCCCCCCCCCCAGCCTCTCGGCTCTTTGCTGGGTGTGCTCCTCTGCGTGGGAGCAGTAGCCGGGCTCTCAGTGTGTGGGGGGGGAGGGGGGGTGCTGCAGGCGAGCCCAGGCCTTGGAGTCAGGCAGTCTTGGTTCCCCTCCAGTGCGGCTGCTAACTTGCTGTGTGGCCCTGGGCCATCGCTTCACCTCTCTGAGCCGTGTGCTCTCTCTGAGTTGGGGCTCATGCTCTATGCTGGGAATTCTCGCCCTCTCCTAAGCACATCAGCGACAGAAGCATTAAGCCCAAGGAGGGCGGCTGTGGGCGATCTGACTTGGGGGCGCCCAGCCCTTCCCCTGCGGGGAGCCAGCAAACTCCTCTTCCTCACGCTGCAGGGCAAGGTCGGGCGTATACAGCCGGCGCTGCCGTTCAGAGCTGGAGCTGCTGCAAGACCGAATCGTTGAACGAGTGCACGAGTTAACGCAACTGGGTTCCGAATTTGGAGGCACCTGCTTGATAGACGTTCAGAGAAAGCCCCGCCTCCGTCTCCTAGCAACACCTAGCACCGCCCCGACCTCAGCCCCGCCCCCGTCTCCTAGCAACACTCAGCACCGCCAGTTGCTAGGGGCCTCCGAGCGTAAACGGACGCGCTTCTAGTTCAGGCCGCTGCGGAGCTGATTTGGGAGCTGACGCCGCGGTCCGAGCCCCGCCGCTGCCCAGCGCGGCCGCTCGCAGGTAGCTCAGGAGCCCGGGAGCCCCGCCCCCAGCCCGGCTGCCCCAGCCAGGTGTCCCTTCCTCCCCGGCCTGGCCTCCAGGGCCGGCTGCCGTCGCAGCCTCAGCCAGGGTCCTCCTGCACTGACCCCGGGGCCCTTTCCCGTCGTCTCGTCCCGCCCCGGGCCTCGCCGGCCCTGACCTCGCCTGGGGCGTGCAGGGGCGGGGCCCTGGCCTGCGGGGCCCTCCCCCAGACCGCAGGCGCCTGTGGCCGCAGCTCCCCGCCCCTCGCCCTCCCGTGCTTCCCGGGCACTGCGCCCACCTGGGGCAGGCGTGGCAGCACGCGGACGCCCACTCCGGGGTCGTGAGAGGAGCAGCAGCTGGGCTTGGGCCGGAGAAGCTGGGGTTGCTGTTGCCCGAGAGCGCCGCCCGCCGCCGCCCTCTGCGTCCGGGAGACCTGCCGCGTGCCTGGCAGGCAGAGATGCGGCCTTGGCCCGGACGGGGAGGGAGGAGAGGGTGAGTGTTCCTGGGAGAGGCAGGACCTCCCTGGGGGGAGCAGAGGGTGGTGCCGGCCTTTGTCTTCCCGCAGCCAGG